GGGCAGTTCGGGCAGTTCGGGCAACTCGGGTTTTCGGGCCGAATTCGGGTAAAAATTCAAAAACCTAGCCGTTTTCGGGTATTCGGGTAATTCGGGCACCTCGGGCGGGTCGGGCAAGTCGGGCAGGCGGGAAAAATTCGGGCAAAATTCAAAAATTCGGGCTTCGGGTCGGGCAATTCGGGCACACCAATTTTCGGGCAATTTTCGGGTCGGGCAGTTCGGGCTTGGTCGGAAAAATGCAAAAAAATCCCGGCGGACGGCGGTATACGGTGGTTAGACGGCGGCGGGCAAGGGTGGACATGTCAAATCCGGGCTGCCCGAGCCCGAACCCGAATTTCTTGCTTGGACGGGCGGGAATTGGGCCGGCCCGCCCGAGCCCGAAAAAATTCGGGCTTCGGGCGGCCCGCCGACCGGAAGTTCCAGCACTATTTGGAGAGATGGAGTGTACGGGCAATTAACTTTATAATTATAGACATCGCGAGGATGACTTGTTTTCCCATGGTTATCTAGGTATGCCACTGCCCCTATAGCTGTTTTTCATTGAGGAAAATAATGACCGAAATAGTTTAGGAATTTACCTCTCTTCTAGCCAAAGGACTCTCTTGATTATTTGAAGCCCTTATTCATTTTCTGGTTATTGGTTGTTTGTGGTAATTTTTGAGCAATGTTTTATTATATCAAAGTAACTAATAAGCATAAAATGTCTGGGATATTAGATTAATGGAACTAAATGTGTAATGCCAAAAAAAAGAACACATATATGTTAGCGGATGTGGTTAGATTATCCGTGTATTTTGGGGTTGTAACGCTGTTGTATTTGTTAGCTTTTTTATCTCCTTGTTTTTAGGGAGTTAGGTGGTTAGTTAGACTCGTTCTCCTGGGCTATATAAAGGGTATTTCTCCTGTAAAGTAATTAAGTTTTCTGATTAATAATAGCATTGTTCACATTGTTTTTCTCCTCCATTTAGCTTTTATGGTATCAGAGCATCAAAGGCTACTTATGAGTTGAGAAGAACTAAACAACAGGAATGAGTGGAGGAAGAGGAACTGAGGCTACTTCGGGTACCTCGCAAACTGTCTCCACAATCATTCCCACTGCCGTCATTGAAAACTCACCTATGTCTCTGCAAATCACAACTCACAAACTGAACGGGAAGAATTTTCTCCAATGGTCCCGATCAGCACAAATGGTTATTAGAGGCAAAGGCAAAATCGGATATTTGGATGGAACAATTCCCAAACCGAAGCCTACTGATCCGGCATACTCCAATTGGGACACTCAAAAC